TTTTTTTTTTAGAAATCAAAGGGGGTCAGGACCCCCTTGACCCCCTCTAAATCTGCCATTGCATTAGATAAATAAACTTCTCTTCTCTTAGTAACATTACAGTTGTTTCCCAAAAAGGACCAAACGCTTTAGAAACACTTTTTACTGCCCACACACGTACCAGTGAACTGTGGCTATTCATGAACCTTCAACTTTCAAAAGACTGATGAACAATATATTTTATTCTTACTATTTTTAAAATATTTATTTCAAAGATTACTTGAATCTTCTTCCATTTTAATACTTTATCTCTATATTTTATATATATATATATATATATATACATTCAAAAATATATTTTCCTCTTCATCATTCTTATCTATGAAATGTGATAAAATTTATAGCGTAAATAGGAAAATGTCTAAGCATATAACTCTAACTGAACATATGAATGATAAGATGTCACGCATGTATATGTGGAATATACATGGGCGTAATAAGATTGAAAAATTAAGACTTACTTTACCTAACCACACAAACANTCCCTTGTATCGATTATCATCATAGCGGTCGCCACCACCACCACCACTGTTATAGGGATATCCCCCTCCTCCTCCTCCTCTCCTGTCATCATATCCTGCATTGCTTACGCCATTGCGCTCTTGTTTTCCCCGTCTCCTGCTCATGCTGTTGTCATGCAAATCAAAAATACAAAATAGTGGTAGTGAACAAAACCTTCAGGGTGTGATTAACACGGGGTTTCCAGGAGCTCCTTATGTAGTGAGTGAAGCATTGAGTATATACATATCTTTATAAATTGCGATAAAATAAACTGCAAAAATTTCAAGCATGGAATACTGAAATTTAAAATAGTGTAAGAACTCATAAATGTTGTTGTTATAATTTCACCATCCCAGTAGTTATTAATGTATATGTGTTCAAATGTTACCAAGTTAACTTAAATGTATAACACAACACTCCAAACCATGTTTAGTATTTCTAAAAACCGTTACCAGTAGGTGTGAAAATGATAAGAAGAAAAAGTAATGGCCTTCCACTCAAAATTTGAAGTTGACACCAATCGAAAATCACTGACAACTGAGTCAAGTCAGTCACATTAAGTGTTTTTCCAGACTTACTCATCTAATGCTATATGGTCCCCAGGAAAAGCCCCTTGATAGTCCTCCTCATAGTTACTGGAATGGCAAGGAAGTCCATGCAGTCAGGTGACAAGAAGAGCGCAAACCCAAGTGCATACGTGCACATAAGCCGAGGCAATCAAACTTTCGATTAATTTGATCCAATGCTAGCTATTTAAGGGTACTAAGGGTACTGTAAGGGTTTGTAATCATCCAGATACCAAAATTGAGTTTTTTCCTGCATCTTATAATTCAATAAAACATCTAACTTTGTGCTGATTGTAAACAATAAAAATCCCCTCCAAAACATGAGAAATTTATTAGCATTTATATTTCTCGTTGGAATGTATAAGCATAGGCACCTCAAAGTGTTTATCATCAATTTAACACCTTTCTATTTTGAGGTGAGATAGCAGTTGGTATGGGCATAACAGTGTTCATGGGTGCTCAGGTAAAGGAGGAATATGAGATACCGTTTTACCCCCAAATTACAATTATGATGTCACCCATAAGAGGACATGCATGTAAATTTTAATTAATTTAGTCAATGAACACTGAAGATTTATCTGTTTAACAGTTATTCAAAAGAATGTATGTAAGGCAGTAAATAAGGAGGTTTTGGCAAATGCTGACAGTACCCTTAAATCAAACGTCATGTACAAGAAAAGCCTTGCTGCACATCTCATTGTTATCATGTAAGTATTGTCAAATGGATCTGTCAGCGCCTTTTAAGCAATTGTTTTGTGCATGTGCCATAACTTTTATATAGATGTGCAAAAAAAGTGGACTTCATAAAAATCTGGACAAATTTCATTACATTTTTCCCAAGTACTACATGCGTCTGATTCTTATTTTCTGATTTTCAAAAGTATTGATTACCTCGTCTCAATTTCATCAACCTTATTAGTGAACTGCACTTCTAAAACCCATTAATCAACAGTAAACAAAACGAAACCACAAAGACCTAACAGTTAATTCAAAGTGATCTTCTACTTGTATCACAAACATCATTTCCATCAATCTAAGATTTACCTTTGATCAAAATCATCGCGCTTTGGGTCATATTCCTCTGTCTTGCGATACTGACCAGCAAGAAGCATTGCAAAGATGATGCTTGGAATGAAAAAGAACAGGCACCAGCCTATGCTGTACCAAAAGCCATTCTGAAGGGAAATAATAAAACTTAAGTTATTGCATGGTTTATATTGATTAAAATGATTACAACACATGCATTGAAAAAAAACAGCTGACGAAAAAAAGAGTTGTGAAGCATAACTGAAGTTTCAACATTTTTTCCTAGTCTAGAGATACACTTTAAGCTTCATAATGTACCACTGTTTAACTCTTAATTAACCAGTAACTACAAATGACCAGTAACTACAGACCTGACAGAAGTAAATCATTGGAAAGAATAAATAATTGAGTCAACTTCCTTTGTACTTACAAAGGGATAAAGCACTGTCTTGCAAACAGTTCCATGCAGTGTTTCTAAAGAACTGTACAGTACTCTACATTTCCCTACATTGTTTTTCAACTGAAAAAAGGTTAAATCGAATGTGTTAAATTTTAATTTAATTATTCTTGTTAAAATTGAAAAGTTATTTTTCAAAGCTGTTAAGCATTATCATGATATTACAAAAATAATATAAAATGTATTCATTCTGTGTAAAAGATTTTTGGAGTTCATTGCATCATTAAGTCCTCTCAGTCAACACAGACATATGGAGTTGAAATATATGATGTACAATTTCTAAAATGTTAGCAACCAAAACAATGTGTCCCCTGCAAAATATTAGATAGACAGGCAAATTGTACATCATGTTTAGTCATAAATGGTTGGATGGATGAATGGATGGATATGGATGGAGAGATAGATACTTACTTGATCAACAGAAAAATTGATTGCTTTATTCAACACTTCTTTGACAGCATCTGCAGTTTCATTTATAGTCTACATATAAAAAAGTAAACAGGTTGTTTTCTTAAACTGCATTGGCCTTCTTTAAGTGAATACTATAGAAATTGACATGTAAAGAACAATACCATTCTCAACTGCTTGAAATTAGCTTACGCATTCTCAGGCTGTTAACAGATATTTTCTTTAAAATTATCAAATGACTGACCTTTATAAATGAAATAAATCACTGTCAAAATTGAAAAAAAAAAGTAGATCTATAAACTGGTTTTGTGTTAAGTTTCTTATTTTTGAGCTACTCTCACTTTGGAAATGGGGACTCACAAAGATCACTTTTATCTAGGAAATTATAAATTATAAATTAAGAGTTCTAAAAGTGGTTTACATATTATAATTTTCTCAATATTTGGAAAAAAACTTTTGACAGAAGGAAAACTGCAGAAATTCTCATGAAAATTTACCTTTTAGCCTGTAAATAGGTAAAATTCTATTGTATGTATATCAAATGCCTAAAAAAGCACAGATGTTGACCATATCTACAATTGATTAAAAAAAACAGCAGTATAATTCAAAACAATATACCTTCTTAATGATTTCTTTTCCTTTAGTCTTTATTGCGCTTTCTGCTTTACGGGAAAGATTTAATAGGCCATTCACTTGTTCCTAGAAATGAATATGTTGAAATCAAAATGACTGCAAACTTTGGATTATCAACACAAACACCTTGCTAAACTTAGTTAAAAGTAATAAAAGACATCACTGACGAGGAACACTCCATTAAAATGTATTTTGATCATGTACTTGACATAATTATATTTAAGAATATCAAACAATCAACTTGCATCCATTCAAAACCATGTACACTAATGCAATTTCTAGATTTATGTATGTAATTTTGTTTGGCATCACTTTCACTATTTGACGTAAAAAGATTTTTTCCCTACAAATTATCTTATTCAAACATTTAAACATACATAAGTGATAGGGTATCTTATTATAATGCCATTCCAACACCAAAGAAGAAGTTCACTTAAATCTTGTTTGTTGTATACACACAATTATCTCACAAAAGTTCAAAACCTAAAATAATAAAAAGAAAGAAATGCTATTCAAACCTACCTGTAGGTTGGTACTCTCATTTAGTTCATTCAATGAACGTTTCAAGTTTCTCTGTGAAAAACAGTAAATGTAATGTTGCCATAATCTAAATCTTTTTAGGCATTTTAAAACATACTTATCACATACACACATCACACTGCTTATATGTATTCAGACATGCATTATGAAAAGAATAAAATAACAGTGAAACTACTTCATAAACTTCTGCAATGCCCTAAAGACTGTTGCTGAATTGCACTAACACTGGAGTACAAATACATTCTTTCATTTATCAAAAAGTTACAAATCCACATGTTACATTACTTGTCAGCATCTTTTAAGATTTATAATAAGTATAAATATCACATTATGCATGGTATCATTCTTAATCAATTTTTACCCACCACCGTGGAATTCATATTATTAACAGTATTATTCGATATTCTCCTTAGTGTAGCAGCATGGCCTTCCAGTTCCTCTGCAGTCTGATTCAAAGTTGTCTGTAAACAGTCAAGCATATTCTGCATTAGTTACAAACTACCACCAATGTTCAATGGATTTAAAATACGAATTATTTACTTGTTACAATTTTGAAAATCTATCAAAGTGCTAATAAAGGAGATATATGTACATCAAACTATGAACACTGCAGTGGAACAAGATAAACAAGATTACCAGATTCTGCTGAGAAAGAACAACTGCCAGTGCTGTAAGATTGTCTGCAAAGGCACCAAGGTCTATGGCTGTTAAGGCTTTGTCAGTCTATTCATTCAAAAATACAAATAAAGATACTGTCAGAAGATTTATCATTGCTGAACTCTCAGATCAATCCATTTACAGCAAATAGATTTTAATATATAGAGTACTTGTATAAATAACAACCCTTGACATACATTGGGCTCCAAATAAAGTGAAATTGGAAATAAAACTAACTAATGAAATCAAGTGTTATAGTTGACCAAATGTGAAACCAAACCATTTAGACAACTAAAATTAACCATCCAGTATCATAAATGGATGCTAAAATGTGCATAAAGTTGCTAAACAGATCATTTGCATACATCTCATCATGAGTTATCTTTGCAGGCATCCAAATTTATGCTATTTATAGTATATAGACACACACATATACACACTATACAGTGGAAATATCCTGACCGTCTGGACAAATGTAAATCTGAGGCATGGGGTATGGTTCAACAATAAATATTATAGATCCACTCCTATCTACAGGTTAATTTTTTATAAAAACTAGAAAAGCATTGTTAACAACACATGAATGTGATACAGAACTTGCATAATAGAGACTAATACTTGGACAGCTAATATAGGATATTTTGTATAAATAACATAAGGTCATAGTGACTAACAACTTTTGTGGCTTCATACAGAAATGTGTATGGTGCATGCACGACACGTATGCAAGTTTGTGTGTGAGTGTTCTCTTGTTTACACATGTGCATGTACACAATGGGTGTGATATGAAAATGAATGACGAGCAGATAGAGATACAACTTTACTCTACTTTGCAGCATGGTGATTTGTACTTTACTACTACTTGCTATCTATATCTAACACTGGGCAGAAAAGGCACAAACATATATAAATAAATTTAGCACCAAATTTCACCATAGCATGCCTTCTAACTTGAGAAATATCACACAAAATAAGTAACTGTGGATAAACTGTCAGCCATTTGTTACTGATACTATTTTCAAATAACCATACAGCTCATTCACTTTGCATTCTTGAAATACATGCTATTTCCTTACCAAGTAAAACATCTATAAGATAACAACCAAGAGAAAATATTTACATAGCCAGTTAAACTAAACATTTATAACATCTTATTTATGACAAATTATTATCATTTTATTGCCAGTCAATCTGTTCTGTTCTTCAACTGATTATAAAATATAGGGAAATTTGTGTTCTATACAGCATATTTGTATGAAAGAAAGAGAAATTTTATCAAGGAAAATTGTAAAAATCTTGTGGTTCACATTACTCATAATTCTGAAGGAGAAAAACTAATTTTGAAAAAAAGTACAAGAGAAAAAACATGTCACATACCTGATCGAAAAACTGAGAGAAAGAGATGTTTGTTATTCCTGCATTGGAAAAGTCATTCATTTGTTGCTCAAGTTCACCACCAATAATTGTAATATTCTGATCAATGGCAGAGGAAAGGTCAATGCTCTTAAGCTTCTCAATCTGATCATCAATTTGGGCCGTCTGAAAAAAAGATGCTTCAAATTTTCATCCAAACTTAAATTCCATCTTAAACATTTTCAGAAACACACCATTTAACGTGCTGGACAGTCCATTTGCACTGTTAAACTTAGCAATTTTTAAATGTCTTTAAAAAATCAAAAGCCCCTTAAGACTTATTTTTATGCTACAGAACGTTTGGTATTTAAATTTTTGTATAAGTAAACAGACATGGGGAAAACTTCAAAGATACTGAAGGTCCAGAGGACACACATTACAAGAAATCTGCAGGTCCTTTCAATTCTGTGTGTTTTATTTCCATTAATCTAAGTTTACATGTAATTTATTCTCATGTATAGTATTTTCATAAAAACCTTGCCAATCCAGAGGACTTGCGGTATCAAAAATCTTCCACTGGCATTTCAGGTGGTCAGGCAACTTTCCCCATGTCTGTACAGTAAATGAACACAACTGTACTATTAGAACTTACCACAGGTGCCAACAGTCCATCAATGGGAACAAATTTGTCTAACTGAAAGGCAGTATACAGGGCCTTATCTTTCTTACAGCCCCTAAAAATGATTCGTCATTTCATTATTATAAATACATTTCAAGCTGCTCTCATTCTTATGCAAGTTTTTGCAACAGTTTTAGGAAATCCACATGCCACAATCAAGTAGTATTTACATCCAATAAAGTGGCTTTCCTAATATTACTTATTTCACATGTATTGCATGATAAGTGTTTTCAAAGCAATACTGATATCAAACTTTATATGAAGCTGTCACTTAAAAATCAGACATCCAGTAGGAACTGTGGCTTGTATTATGCCCCCACCCACCCGCAAAAAAAAAATAAAATTTAAAAAAAATCAGTCAAATAGGCAAACATGCACTCACAAACACAGGTTTAACTTACTTAATTCCATCGCTGACACTTAATTTTACATTGTTGGAAGCCAGGATACCATCTGCAAGCTATGAGAAATATCATATAACAAATGTTTAAAAAATTTTCATTATTGGCTATATGATAAGTAGTATGATGTGTTGATCATCTTTTCATTAACTCTGACATCTAAAACATACAGTTCAAATTCAACTTAAAACAAGTAAAAAACTACATAAGCTATGCAAAATTTTCCATTTTGTCTTACTTTTTTCTTAATTCAACTAAAATGCAAAAGAAATAGGTACCTTGTAACCTTCTGCATTAGGATTTGCAGGATCTGTTGGCAAGNTTTTCATTAACTCTGACATCTAAAACATACAGTTCAAATTCAACTTAAAACAAGTAAAAAACTACATAAGCTATGCAAAATTTTCCATTTTGTCTTACTTTTTTCTTAATTCAACTAAAATGCAAAAGAAATAGGTACCTTGTAACCTTCTGCATTAGGATTTGCAGGATCTGTTGGCAAGCACACCCAATTGTGTGATACACTACCAACCAAAAACAGAATCATAGTGATCAACATCAGCAGACTGCAGAAGATGAAGGTAAAACCAACTCCACTGAAATGATAAATTCATACGAGTGTTTTTAAATTATCAGAATAATTATAGTTGATGACGTTGCATCTTTTCAGTTTGTTGAAGTGTATAAAGCAAAGACACACATTCAGTCATCTCAATGTCATGATTCCACAGATGAAGGGCAAATGATACATTTCACAAATTCATCTAACATTTGTGCTTGGTAAATTTCAAACAAATGCTGCTATTCAAAGTTGTTCAAAGTTCAATGTGACAAGCGGCCATATCCAATAATTTGTAAGTGAAAAAGCTGCTCTGATAGGCTATCCCATTACTGGAAAACCAAAATAAAATCTGTGTCTCCTAAATTCATTACAATAAAGCATTGAAGTGATTTAAAGGGATAAATATATGACTGTGAAAACATCAAGGTCATTAACATTCTTTTTATGATGAACAGCACTGATCTAATAAAAATATAATATCACGTGCGTAAGAATACATTAAGTCTAAATCATAGCATCAATTATCCTTGTGAAACAAATCGGGGGAAAAAATTTTGTAGATGGCTTGCATATATATTTCCTCTTTCTAGCAGGTTAAACACAAAAAAAATTATTCAACTCACGCCAGCAGCAGGTTTGCTCCTACTCCAGTGTTACACATGTGAGCGTCATCATCAGGTGGTTCACCACATGCTCCAAACGCCAGGCCCAGGTAGTTGAACAGGACAATCAAAAGTAGGATACAGCTCAGACCAATCCCAGCATACCATCTGAAATACCCACAGATCAAAAAATGAAAGGCAGTTATTAGGAAGTTAGAAAACAACTGAAACAAACAAGAGGATCAGAGAGGCGATACCACCTCTGGATATTGTACCACCAGCTGGAGTAAGCGCATTCGGAAGGAAACCCCCCAAAAAAGGGACACCACCACCAGTCTTGTGCTTGACAAGCTCTATAAAATGTAATAAACAAGAGTTCTCAAAATATGCAAAAAAATGTGAAAAAATATAACTATAAAAATGGTCCAATCAAGCTGATTTTCCAATTGACCTGTATTTTCCTAACATTGATCACTCCTGTGATTTTCTAGACAATAGGCCTATTGGTTTTCCTTGAAATGTGTTATCAGTGTTGCATATATGCTAACAAAAGATAAAACCTATGGGCATCCCTGGGCATATCTCTGCAAGAAAATATGCAAAGTTCAGTTCATGGTGAAAAAGTAGGTCAAATGTCAATTTCAAGGTCACAGTATATGACTTCCTATTCAAGTTCAATTGTAACTATGGGCATTCCTTTGCCAATTTTTGGAGATATAAAGGCCAGAAAACATGCAAAGTACAGTTCATCATAAAAAGGAAGTCAAAGGTCAATTTCAAGGTCACAGTTAGATTACCAGTAAATTACTTCCTATTCAAGCTCAACAGTAACTATGGGTGTATCTCTGCTAATTTTGGAGTATTTCACATTTTATTTTCACCACTGAATATTTTGATATAGTGCAAAGCCTAAGCTTTATCGGAAACAAAAAAATGGATGCCACCTCCTGTGTTGCACTTGACAAGTTCTACAAAATACATAAAAAAAGGGCCCAAGCATTTACGGTTCCAGAATTTGAAAGTTTTTTCAATTTTGGCAACTAATGGCTGTTACTACCGTGAAAATGCACCGATTGACCCCAAACTCACGAAAATGAAAGATGACCCTAAGGGTAACACCTGCCCATAATATTAAAGGTTAGATCTGTGTAGTTTCTAAAAATCAGCTGAAATAAAAATTAGAAAATTTTGGTCTGTTTGACTTTGAAATAAGGTCAAATACAAGGGCATATTTGAAATCTCCACATAAGAGATATCTAGGGAGATATCTAGCATTGAATTTTCAAAATTTTTGACAAGGGTGCGTTTCAACGCGGGTAACGCCCAGGCCAATGCACCGACTGAGACAAAAAACCAGGGGGTTCAAGTTGAGATTATATGTGACCTAAATCCAAGAGATGGGGACACAGGTCCTTGTGGTCTAGGAGGAGAAGTGGTAACAGTGACTTGTATCCCACGTCAGCCAGCGGAGCTGTACGAGACAGGTCGGGACTAAAACCATTTGTACCGCCAGTGTACACGCTGGTGGTACTAATTACATATATTTACAAATTTCCTAATTACCAACATTAATTTTACTTATGCAGGCATCTCTCATTTTTTAAGAGTCACTTCTCTCATCTTCAAAATCTACATGATAATATAACTTGCAATTTGTAATAAAGAAATCCACACACTACTACTGAAAAGTGCAATCTTAAAATACTTTTTATGTATTCAAAACTTTCTTCTATGGCATTGCATCTAAAATGCTAATTAACAGTCTATAATGCAGCACAAACCTATATTTCCCATACAGAGTAATTGCATCAGAGGCACTAGTGATGGAATTTCTGGCATTATTTACTGGACCAGAAAAAGTCTGAAAAAATAACCTTAAGTTTTAGTAAAACTAAAATCTTTAGTTAACATCAAGGTACATGTACATTTAAACTGAAGCTGGGCTTAAAGCTCCAAAGCAGTCAGTCAGATTCCTCATACTTGTAATCAACCCTGTGATAAACATCACTAATAATGTAGACCCAATTTCTGTTTTTATGAACTGTTAAGAATTCTATATATTTTCAGTGACTAAATGTTCATTCTCCACCTGTAGGTCAAATTTGGATTAACCATCAAGACTTTAGAAAATAAAGCACCATGTAAAGTTTCTAACCTCACATGTACTTTTCAGTAAAATTTTATACAAATTTGTTATTCACAAAAAAAAGTAATTAAAATTGTTCTAGAGGAGATGGGTTAAAAAAGCTGCGTGGGGAGTATCCAACATTGGCTAGGTAAGTTGTTTCAAATATAAAGATATTGTTCTTTACTGCCTTGCTGTCACCTGAGCTGCTGATTCCATGTTCCTTATTTCAAATGATTACCTTTGTTTGTGCACTCAAATCTACTAAGGTTGCACCAAGTTTTTCATCTAACTTCTTTAATTCTACCTTCGTGTCTGAAAAAAAAGAAAAGGCAAATCATTCTTTATGTTAGATATCCTTTTATCAAGAATATATCTTCAAACAGATTCAATGTAATTATCATGTTTGCTCTTTTCATCAATGAACACATGTTGAATCATCAGGAGCATGCATCTGTATCAGTTCTGTGTAAATTTAAATCTACACCCAAAGAAATAAATCACTATATAACATACAGGACAAGAATGAATTATTCTTCTGCTGTTCATTAGTTTTAATGGGTAATTAACAATAAGCACTGCAATAAGAGATAAACAATCTAGGTAACACATTATAAGTTGCAAACAAATACATAAGTATCTCACTATTAATTTCATTGTCCAATTGTTCTTTTGCTTTGACACTGATGTTTTTGTACTCCTGTTCTCCCTAAAATGAAGAATGCAATAGACTACCATCATAGTAAAAGTGCTGTAAAAACCATCTTTTTCAAGTATAGGGCAACATCAATAGCTCAATAGCAAAGAAGTTAAAGCATCAGTATCATTTTTTTCACATTTTTCATCAAAATGATATATTTCAGCCAAAATGAGATTTAATAGAAAACCAAAGTTTGAGCTCAGGATCTTTTATTTCAAACAAATTTATATGCTTTTTCATGAGTTCCTTTAACAAGTTAGTCATACCATGTTGTTATATTTACCTGTTCTACTTTTGCTGATATATTATTATTTTGCACTTTTTCAACTTCTTTAAGAGCATCCGTAATAGTCTTAAGGGCATCAGTTGTAAGCTGCAAACACAGTTAACAATTAATCAAGGCCATACCATGCATGATTAATTTATTAACTCAGGGATATGATAAGCAATTCAAATGCATGTCAACACCACCCCTCCCTGAATCCCTGGATTTAATATCACAAATATGTCAATCTCTGCAATCACCCTTTTATTAAAACAAAATGGAAATCTGGTTATAACCGAGCTTTTTCTTTCTGCATAATTTATTTTACAAAAATGGTTATAATATCAATATCTGTAAACAATGAATTTATATTAAGTCATATATGTTGACAAATGTACATTAATGGCAGATTTTTTCACTTACAGATGTAAAATTTGCTCCTGTTTGTAAACTATCAAGCTGACTCCCAGTGGCATTACATGCTGCTTCTACAGTACAGGAACTTAGGGTGTCACTTATGTTTTGTCTCACAGCAGCCAGCTCAGCTTCAAGTTGGATAGTCAGGTTACTTAAAGCCTCTGTATCAGTTTTCACAGTCTCCAGATTAGCAGCTAAGTTATCCACACCTGATAATAAAGCATCTTGGAATGATTTGTGACCTTTTTTGAACTGGGTGTCATATTACACATTTTTTAAATGACTGATTTTTTTTTAAGAAAAACAATTTAAAGATTTGAATTTATTATAAAAAAAATTTAAAATAAATTCTGCCTCAATTATTTGAGTCTGGCTATTAGGTGCAAGCCAGTGTTTAATGATAATACAAAAAAATTAATAACCACATATATAACCAATCAAAACTACTGTTCTAAGATCAGATAAAAAAAGAATGGTATTTTTTTTTTTTTTTTTTTTTTTTTTTTTTTTTACTATTGAGGTATAACATCAATTTTATCTCCTTCGTTTTACCTATTTTTCTTTTCAAATAAGAGGTGAAAATTGTAACAATGACTAAATTTAGCATTTCCAATATTCTCACTTACTTTTTGCCAATTTTTTGGCGTTGTCAATCACTTCAGATGCATTAGTTTCAGTTCCAATTTTGGCCAGGGCAGTGTCAGCAGCATCTAAGGGAATAAAAACAAGTATCAGTGCAGAACAATTCTCTATACTAGGCTAACATCTGCATAAAAACCTTTTTCTTGGAGTAGTGGAGTTTTCTCCCTCTTTTTCTTTCTTTTTTATCTTTACTTTGATTAAAATATCATTTGTGGCTAAATAATCACATACCTACTTAAATACAAATACGTGCTAGAGTTATCCCAAATTACATTTTGTCTTTGTTTACAAATCTCAAATTTTTATACTGGAATTAAATGTACTTATAGAAATTGGAAAGTTTTTCAACAATACCAGGCTTTCATATTGTAACCATGTATAATTTCACTGATATATCAGTGCTTTCAGTAACTATAAATTACCTTCTATTTTTCGAATTACACTACCCTTTGCACCATTGTAGTTGTCAATTACAGTTTTATTTATTTCCTGAAATACACAAAATATGCCAATAAAATCATAAAGTGACCACAAGACTTAAGAATTTAGTTTTTATCACTTTATCACTCTGGCCTCAAAATGTGAATAAAAAACAGGCACAGATAAGACTTCAAGCCTAACATCCTTAAGACACAAGGTCAGCCAGATTAACAACAAATATTTATCTTCCTTGCTTTAAACAATTCTATATGCTGACCAAATATCAGTGAGGAGGGTTTTTTTCTTTTAATGAAACAGGGGCCAGGACATGAGTAGCAAACAAACAGATTCCAACAACAGAGGCCAGAATACAAAAAGAAGAGCCAGACAGGTGTGTAGACGGATGTCAGGTCAATAGTACCATTCATAACTCATCACAACTGCCATGGCCAAGTGCAGACACTCAGATAAAGCAAGAAAAAAAATACACATTAGCAAATGGGACTTCTACCCATCTTCCTACCTACCGTCAGAGTGTTTGAGAGGTAATCGTCTATTCTGCCAATTTCTTTTGAGATGGAATTGAGAAGTCCTGTGTCATTGTTGTTATGGTTGGTTTGTTCCTGCATCAGTTCATTGGTAACAAAGGCACACACCATTCCTCCCCTGTAGTATCAAGGTGGCAAGTAGAGAATGCCATAAAATTGCAGTTTTTCCAATATTTGAATGAGTTAATTCTAAACTAATAACAAAATGACCCATCTGATTAACATAAGAAAACGTTAAGTGGATCAGTTGAAAATATTCGCTTGTGGTACAATTCTACCCTATAACAATTTGAATTTGAATGTTTAAACTATAACTCACAACCAAAGTACAGTGACTGATCATAACTAACAAATGATGAAATTTTATTACTCTTTATACAAAAAATGTCCACACAAATTTTACTTACAACATGAGTGTGGTTATCACAGCCAGCACAAGCCCAAACACCACTCGGCGACATTTTGCATTCTTTGGTTCCATGGGGTCTACTTTTCCACCACATTTCTTGCAACAGCATCGGCAGCAACAAACACAACAACCAACAATAGGCATGATGATCATAAACAGGATACCAACTGCTATGCAAACTGTATAGGCAATAAACCACTGGACTGTCTGAAATGACAATTAATACAATGACACAAAACGGCAATTAAAAACTGACGAAAACACATTACTTTTCCTTTAACAAGTACAGATTTGTCAGATATGAGAATATGTTCAGTTGTGCAGAAAATTTTTAAAAATCTTTTAACTTATCATGAGATGGCATCTGTCAAATCCAGAAATTATCTTATATATATAAGATACCATTGGTATCACTTCTAATTACAGCATAAGTTCTGCGACAGACAAGTGCAAAATTAAAACATCTGTCTTGATAGAGAGAAACCCAAATAATTCACAAATCAGTGGTTAAAAAATGAAACAAGGCATTTTTAAACAGAATAAATATTTTAAAAAAATCATGTCCTTTTTTGGCATTTACAAAATAACCATCCTCATGATGTGTTAGATGAGAAAGTATTGATGCACTTCTTTACAAGAACAACCATCCCTGATACCAAAGGGAGCTATCCTTAAAATTGGGTTATTAATTTTATTATTCATCAAACTGGTGACAAAAATAAAAAACACATTCTTACCTGACCCCATTCTGTACTTAACCTTAACATAAAGGCTGAACTTTGTAATGTTGCAAAGTAGTCTGTCTGATTGTCTCTTTTCACAACTTCCAAGCCTGAAATTTTATATAATGAACAAATTTAAGAGACTAACAAATTCTGTCTTATTTTACTGAACCATACTGCACCATTCTGATGATATCATATCAGTTATTTGACAAAGTTCCCTTTAGTGATTGATAAAATAGAAAGCTGACTAAACAAAATTATATCATATAATTATAAGAAAAAAGCACATAAATTTCCAGCTAGAAATTTAGATCTGAGTCAAAATCTATACATGTATCTATACCTAATAGATCACACAAATATCTTAAGCCATATTACAGAAAGTGACATAAGCAGTTTTCATGACTGTCTTGGCAGAATACACCTTTCACATAGCACAGCATTGTGCTGTGTAATGACTGATATACATTAGGTTTTTGAAGTTGCATGCAGCCATGACAGACTTGCATGATGCCGGTACAGTGTGTAATATATATGTATATATATTATATGTCTTCTCATTACTGCCTCTTGAGAGGCAATCAATACTCTTCTATCATGCAGGTAGATGATTTGACTAGACTATGAGAAGCTAAAAATACTTCTGATGGCTACTGTCAGAGACATTAAACCATTTTACTCCTTCACTGACAGGAGAGAGAGAGAGAGAGAGAGAGAGAGAGAGAGAGAGAGAGAGCATAATATGACATTACACTAATAGCTGACAAACAGCTTCACAATGTATTTCCCTGTCAACAAAATGAATTGAAGGAACAAAGGCAACTGCCTACCAGTGGTACAATAATTGTACTTGGCTACATCATCAATGCAGCAGTACAAAGAAATTCCACTTTTTAACCACTATAATTTTCTTTGACAAATCACTGTTTTCATACCATATGAAAGAAAAATATTTGTGGCAACTAGAAAAAAATACCAATGACAAAAACACCATCTGTGGCGGGTGTCAGTCCAATTTTATTCAATTGTCAACGATATATAACATCAACTGGTAACAAATGGTACTGTTTATTGTCTAACATCAACTTATGTCAACTTACATCAACTTTCATAAACTTTCAACTGGAAACAACTGGTAACAACTTTCATCTGAATCAACGTGAAACTCGTTGCGAGAATCTGACTTGTCTAACAAACACGTGCCCGCAAAAACTAAATACTATCAACCCCGATACTACAATTAAAGTCAAGACACTACTAAAAATAGCTACTTGTCAGTTACACCATCACTTGTCAATGAATACAGAGAAAGATGATTGCGAGTTAAATAGTCAAAGATCTTACCATTCTTACCAAAGAAAAGAGGTTAAACTTTTTTAAACAGGTGGCCTTTCTTAGACATTACAGTTTTTATGCAGATGCCTTGAAAACTGTTTTCACTCAATGACACCACAACAGGTGCTACCGTTGTAAAAGCATAAACCTGTCAATGATGTAAGGATTGCAAGAGTTCTGTGACTTTGTCAAGAAAATTGCACCAAGGCACTTCATTTCATGATAAAATGATTTTTTTTCTCAATGTTAGAGTTCCTTTTCAAGCAAATATACAGTCTTATTACCAACATGATCAAATCTAGACTTAGTTATATCTTTAATCTGCATAAAGAAAAGGTATTTTTCATTTGTTCTCAGCAATATTACAAAAATCATATGTACATCAGCAGTGACTAAAGATACTGAGAGAAGTAAAAACTGTTTAGTGGTAAACTAAAAGTTGTTGGACTAGTAAAAATATAACCGAGCACTCATATCACCTAATTTACCAACAAAAGCACAATATCTGACATATATACCTTTACACAAGTGTCATGGGGGATGGGGGAGAACTCAAACCTATTAGAGCACCAAAAGTAATTTTCTTAAATAATTAACTGATCATCAAAATTGGCAAAAAAAAAATCATTTTGTATACAGAGACCACATGCAAGCTAGAGGATGTTCAGAATGTTTCAGTACAAGAGGCAGGTGTGAGCCAGATGAGAGAGACTCTGTTCTTTTAATTCATTTCAGTAAATACACCAACAGGTGTATTTCAAAATGGCTAGCAGAAAAATGTCCAAAGGAAATGCTTTTCAGTGACCCAGCAGCAAAAAACAATGCTTAGTGCCAATTCAACAGATATCAATGTGATATGCTTTTACATAACAGCACAAATTAGCAACAACCACAAGCCAAATAACAAAGAATCACAAACAGCTATGTTTGGTTAAATTATATAATTCTTAATATTGGCTTTAATAATTATAAAAAAAAAAGTTACATAAACATGTTTCCCTTCCAACTGCAGCCTAAATCTATATCCAGGTCATGCCAAGTAAGTGCATTATCACTGAGCAACTATTACCTTCAATAATAAATATCACTGGAAGCAAAACCAGGCAAATACCTTGAGTGTGAATTATTGAAGACACAGAGATGCTGAGAAAGGTCAGCAGAAAGCAGTAGGGTTACAATTAGATACAAAACCTGCATGCCAATATCTTACTGTTTACCACCACTGCTGTGATGAACTGTGAGAATCAGACTATTCAGAACAGAACCACTGTTTACCCAAAATTCAACCCAGATAACTGTTTATAGACAGATTGTGTTATCAAGCATTTCAAAACACTGCAGTGTTATCCTAAATCACTTATCTCTCTTAGCTGAATGCACCCTTTCACTGGAAGACTTTTTTGATATATCCTTTTTGATAACTTTTCAAAAAAAGAAAATATCACAGTAATGTGAAATTTCGATGATCGTGTTATTAAACGTGTATTCTCTGTATTTTTATAATTAATTCCTTGAAAAGGCCATTTCAATTTGAGCTCTGCATTATAACAAGTTATCACAAAAATCATTTTTACCAAAACACCTATCCATTAATTCTAAAAATAAGTTCTATTCCTGACTATTCCCGCCTAACCAAATAACAATTATCTACCCTCTGTGCCATGATCTACATAGATACCATGGTAGTGGCTCTATACTTCATGAAGGTCATCAGGAACAAGGAACCTCTGTTGTCTAGGTGCTGACTCAAGAGTATCATCCAGAGTCCGTACCTCTTAAAAGACAAGTTCCTGTACTCGTAGGATCTCTCTCTCTTTCTCTCACACGCAAAATATACCCAATACTGCCTTTTAACTTTTAATTTATGTTACATGTAGAAAAATGCCAGCTTGATCACTTACATTACTGAGGATATATACTTGATTATTTGATGGATTGGTGTTCGCAGTACCCTATGCAAAGATCTGGAGAAAATCAGATTTTATCACTTTACTACTCTGTATATTTTCAGTGACATTTGTCCTGTGCATGATGGTATAACATTTGGAATAATATGCCTTTTTTTAAGAACACTAACCCATTGCAATTATAAAACATATCTGTACAGCTTGCAAGCTCACAAAACCAGACAGGCATGCATCTTCTAACCAAGACATAAATGGCTTATACCTTTTTACTCCTCAATATATTCCCAAAGCTTGTGGTTAAATATTTGCTTTTCCACCATATCACTATACTAGTAAACATCATACTATGATGTTATAAAACATTTTGCAAGAGAAAACAATACCAATGAAAAATATTCTTACAAATTCAAAAGAAATGTTCACCAGTTTATAACATAAATTTTTTAAAAATTACAATTTAACACTGAAAACCCTACAGCTCTGAACATACACTCACTCCTTTTAAAAAGTAAACAGATTAAAGCACATAATGACAATACCAATAGTAACTAAACCTGAAAGGTAACAAATAGCGTCAACTTTGACTTAAGCCTGTTATTCCTTCTGAAATTTCAGTCTCACTTACATGTATATAAAACCTGCAAAGCCCAACTGTTTTGCAATCCTGATAACTAGTGCAGTTTTATATAGCACATTACAAATCACCAAAAAAATGAAAAATAACATAAATCGAACATGTACAAGCAAAAGCAAGAAATTGCATAAAACATTTTCATATAAAGGTAACCTGTATGTGTAAGACAATTTTCCCGTCATATTTTTCAAGTCTATACACATCCTGTAAAGCTACTTATCTTTCCCAATTCAGACCTTAAAAACTATTAAAACCCTCGGATAAAAGCACTTGATATAGATATTTCCTCTTGATATTGAAATTTTAGAAGGCCATGGTGGTTTAAATGAATCATGATTCATTAAGAACAAAGTTATTTAATTACAAATGGTACAATGTATGCAAACCAAGTGCAGGCACAGGTCAAGTAATGATTGGTGAGTACTTAGAAAAAAATGCTTTTTTCTCAAGGAATGGTTTTAGAAATTTGGTGCAAAAAATGTATGGTATACCTTTAATAGCAATATCTACTTTTTCATATTTTCAAACAATCTCCTTAAAAGAGAATATATTTCATTTATATGTTTTACTTTATTGAACTTTTAATTATCTTTATTGTGATTATTCTGAAAATAATTTTCCGTGCNTCTTTTAACTTTTAATTTATGTTACATGTAGAAAAATGCCAGCTTGATCACTTACATTACTGAGGATATATACTTGATTATTTGATGGATTGGTGTTCGCAGTACCCTATGCAAAGATTTGGAGAAGATCAGATTTTATCACTTTACTACTCTGTATATTTTCAGTGACATTTGTCCTGTGCATGATGGTATAACATTTGGAATAATATGCCTTTTTTTAAGAACACTAACCCATTGCAATTATAAAACATATCTGTACAGCTTGCAAGCTCACAAAACCAGACAGGCATGCATCTTCTAACCAAGACATAAATGGCTTATACCTTTTTACTCCTCAATATATTCCCAAAGCTTGTGGTTAAATATTTGCTTTTCCACCATATCACTATACTAGTAAACATCATACTATGATGTTATAAAACATTTTGCAAGAGAAAACAATACCAATGAAAAATATTCTTACAAATTCAAAAGAAATGTTCACCAGTTTATAACATAAATTTTTTAAAAATTACAATTTAACACTGAAAACCCTACAGCTCTGAACATACACTCACTCCTTTTAAAAAGTAAACAGATTAAAGCACATAATGACAATACCAATA